CCTGAAAGGGATCGTCTTGGCTTATCCTAGTGTGGCTCTTAACTGTTCTGAGTGGGGACTGCGTCTGGTCACATTCGGTCGGTTCGCAGGCAACGAACGATGCTCACCATGCAGCAACAGTTGGTCCATGACGGCTAGGTCACCTCGCGCAACAGCACTAGTTGATCGAAAGTAGATGGATTTACATCAATTCACATCGACGTGCATACGAACATTAAATCCTTCGTTAGAATTGCTGGGTCAAGTCGACAACTTGTGTGTTTGTTTTGGTGAACGTGTGCCGGTTCCGATTGTTTCGAGAGCGCGCCACTCCATCATTTAAGGCGCGGGTGTCGGCACGCGTCGCTTGATCACCAAGGAAAAACACAAGGCCTGTCTCCGATCAAACATCATACGGAGACTGTCCGTCATAGCCTTGCGATATTGCGCCGAACCCATTGACTTGTCTTTTCGAGTCATTCCATGACCAAACCCGCCGCGAGTTGTACCGTAACCGAGATACGAGTTGAACATACACGGCACATCATTGTAGTAATTGCGACCGCATTGCTACTGCGGATCTTCATTACCATCATCTCCGACATACACCTTGAGTAATTTGGGCATTTCGCGATTCCAAGCAAAAGACGTCTGTGTTCAAATGTCGCTTCTGTCATGACGCGAGCTTAATGCACATATAACCCCACTCAAATCATACACTCAACAGCCACACAAAGACACCGAACATGCTCAGCTTGGAGAATGTTCTTGCTATTTCAGAGCCAGACAAATGGATTGATCAGTACCTTGGGCAATGACTTGATTTTATTTCCGGCATTTTTCACGGAAAATCATTGTGACGCCCAGTGATACGATAAAAGACGTTAGGGTAACATGACTGGCAAGTAGAGCCAGACTGAAAAGCTTGACTCTCGTACTGATGCTCAAAATCCCATAGGGTTTGCATGCTTGCAACGGATCGTTGCCTCGCATCAATCACAAACCCAGATTCTACACTTCTGACTTAGAAAAACAAATATCGACCCCTTGCTGTCGCTCAGTATTCAACAACATACATCCCCGTTGGTGGTTCTCCATCAACGACATCGCCTTACTTTGTGTGAGCCATTCTTTTCGGCACTTTCGGGTTTCGCGGGGAATCCATGTCAGTATACGCCTTAACTACGATCACCCATGTATGAGACATCTCCTGGTGGTGAGTTACGATATAGATCGCGATCACAGCTTGATCGTCGACCTCCCTTAGCAGCCGCTCGGCTATAATACATTATACAGCAAATGCAAAACGCCGCTCTGAGTAAGTTCGGCGGTAGGTCACTTAGAATAGGCATTGTCATGCAATACCATATCACTGGAGACACTCATCGTCATTGTATAGGAATGTGAATACCTCGTACAGCGTGCGGAATTTGCAAATGTGGGCCCACAACACTGTCAACACGTATCCACGTCTCTTGGAGGCTGATCTGACACAAAGAATATGACTTCGAGCGGAGCATAGGAGGCCACACAGCAAGAAAGGAGATTCACGAAATCGACGATGTACAAAGCAAAGTAGAGCTTAAAGCCGCTTGGCATACTAAAGCACAAGCACGCTTACGAGAAACAGCTTCTCGAAGACGCGTGGAAGCCCGAGGCGCAAAAGCGACAGCAAAATTGCGCAAGCACCCGCCACACTTTCCCCTACACAAGCAAGAAACCCCTAAGACGCCAAAAGCCCGCCATTTTAAGACTCGTACGGCCCTTTTTTCTTTCTCCGGAGTATCCTCCTAGCACCTTGGAACGGCAGCTAGAAGCTCTATCCCGCGCATCTTCTAGCTTCGGAATTCGGAATTTAGGAGTGTCGCTGGTCAGCAAACTAAACTTACACCAAACCTGCGCCAAACTTAGATGCAAAAAGACAAGACGTCGTCTTCAGATCGTTGAGCTAGTTTAGCTAGCGGTGTGTTCGTTTCCAATGAAGTAAGCAAGCCGCTGGCGCCGTGGCAATTAAGGCTTGGTACTCGAAATCCCGCAACTAACTGCAGGTGACGGATTGTGTTTGCATGTGTGTAGGTTTGAACGGCGCATCCCGTGTCGAATCTGGTCTTTCTGGATTGAAGGGTTGAACAGGGTCCTTGTGCCCCACCAGCTTGCAGCCTGCAGATACATTGAACTCGATGTGTGCAAACCATGTTGCTTCCCGCATATTGGGCGAGCACCTCATGAGACACGCATTTGCTGACATGGTACTATTTTTGCCCCATCACCAAGATCAAGCGTAGTGTAGTGTTGTCAAACGTTCATGCGCAAAAAGATGCCTTAGCTATGTGTGGAAACAGGATTTTCCTGCACGGTACTTGCGTGCCCTGCTTTTTTCCTTCTTAACCGGAGTATGCGGGGTGCCGTGCATAAGGCGGACACCCAGAGAGAACGGTGATGCAGAAAGGAGGCACCGAGTATGGGACCCAACGGTACCGAGTACCAGTTGTCAAGATGTAATAATAGATATCGTTATAGTAGAGTTGCGCTGGGGTGACATGTTTCCACACATCTATTGTACATTGCGAAGTTTACGAGATACGAGCAAGAAGACGCAAGCATGCAACCGTTGCCCGCTCCTTCGCTCTGCATGTCGGGCATTCAGCACGGCAGGTGATGTCGTGGCTAGGGTCCCGAGGATGTGAACGTCGTGCATAGTTTTGCCACAAAGTACCACTTCATGCAGTGGACATCGCCGTGAGGAGGGAAAGGGTCGATAGCCGACATTAGTTCCCTTCTACTGCACACACAACTACACATCCGGCAGTCGTCCGTTCCCTTCGTCTCCGCCCTTTACCACACACGTACACTCACTCCGCTGGAAACTTCATATTGCGATCGAGATCGTAGAATCCCATGGTCGCCATCCCTACCTTTCACGTGGCCGTGCTGCCTTCACACCCTCTCCTATCCTTACTTTTTCCATATCGGCGAGCTCCTTCCCGCACCGTTTTCCAACACCAAAAAGGATTTCCACCAGCTCCGCCTTCCCGATCAGTACATCTCAAACTCGTACCGTATGCCCCGTAACAGTCCTCCGCGACCGACGCTATCTTAGTTCAATGCCCAGCCTCTCCACAAGCAAGCCCCTCAGCCGCTCGTGCAGCTCATTAGTCTCTTCATTCGTGAGTGTGCGTTCCAGGCTGCGGTAGTTGATGCGATAGCACAAGCTCTTGCGTCCAGTCTTGGGATGCACGAATTCATCCGTGAGACGCACATCTTCCACTAGATCACCGCAGACCTCTCGCGCGATTTCCATCACATCATTTTCATGGAAACTGGAGGATGATGGCGCGGGAGCCGCTGGTGGAATTGGTGCACCGGATGATGTTGTGGGCGTGTTGTTTGACATGCCTCCTGCAGGTGGATGAACCGCTACGGCTCCACCAGCAGCGTTAGAACTACTTCTCAACCAGAAGCTTACATCCTTGAAACATGCAGGGTGTTTGCTGAAGGGCACGAAGCGGCACATAGTTTTCTGCTCACTAAATTGCGATAAGAACCGATTGTCCTTTGACCAGAACAGGCGTATGTCTGGGATAGAGTAGAGCAACATAGCGATGCGTTCCAGACCTATACCGAAAGCCCAGCCTATGCGTGTAGGGACCGAGGCGTTGTTTAAGATGGGTTGTGAGACGATGCCACAACCGAGGACTTCGAGCCAATCGCCTTGCCAAAAGACCTCGAGTTCCCACGAGGGCGAGGTGAAGGGGAAATAGGCTTCTACCCATCGTACCTTCAGTGGCTCATTTGGTGATTCCGTATCTGTAGCACTCTTTGCAGCATTGAAAACCGTAACTACCATATCTTCGAGACTGCGTTTAAGATGTGCTGCCATGGCTTCGGCCTCTCCTGCTGAGTGACCTGTTTGAAGTGGGTTGCGCTCAGCATGAAAAGGAGGATTTGGATCTTCAACTGCAACATTGTGCTTAGGAATCTTCTCCACATCATCCCAGATGACTTGCGCCAGTGTCTTGCCTTCTCTTTCTGCTTGTTGGCGATCCCAAGTTCGCGCTCCCTCCATCTGATGGAACACGGGATAATGACTTCTGTCAATCGCATCTCTTCGGTATACATCGGCACTGATGAGGTACCCCTCGCTCTCGTTGTTGCGGAATGTGTCGGCTTGATGTGCTGAAGTATGTGTTCGTAGCACAGTGTTCTTGTTTAGGTAGTATGTATCCGTCCTACTACGACCTATGTGGTCTAATGGGAAGCCAAGCGAGTCGAAATTTTGTCCAGTTGTGACGATAGGAAAGAGGTCATTATGAGTCTTGTAACCTGGAAACCGGGACTCGATGAGTTTCCGTGTGATGGTCAAAGGGTGATCTGGTTGCAGATGCAGGCGTCTTGTTACCGCGTCAAGGATTGTTGAAGGGGTATTCATCCATTCGTCAGTTTGGTATGTCCGACCTTCTATTTTGATCTCTTTTGGGAATGCTCCTGTTCATACTTAGATGCTATACGGTTCATCGTTCGAAGACAAGCTAAGCACGACGAATAAAGGTAGTGGTATCTTTGATATGACAGATCCTGGATCTTGTATCGATGGGTGTGACTATGATTGATTCGGTACAGAAAGCTAGGAGCCGCATCACATGATGACAAACTCACCGGAAGAATTGTGCCTCGCCGCATGACGCGACGGCCAAGGCGACACTGAGCTTCGTGGTATGCGCAGCGAGGCATTCCAGCACAATTGACGGCAAAGAGCCGTAGAGGAAAGGGGTATCCGCATCTTTGATGGTGATGTTCGCTCTTTACCGTGGCGTCCACAAAACCGCACGCGACGCCAAGCCCTGCCCACCAGCTCCGAGCTTAAATCCGGAGGCAGCACGTTTTGCCGATGACGTTCGAGTGCCGAATTCTCGGTCTCTCAACTACCACCGACGCTTCACAAGCTTCCTGACTTTTAAGGCGACAGCTTCCCTGCCCCTGCAGACTACACATGCTGTCGCTGCGCAGCCTTCACCTTGAAAATGGCGGACGTCACTAAGAAAGTGAGCGTGGCTGAACTGCGGAAGAGCGAGGATGTGAAGCCTATCAAGAAGACGCCGGTACATTATCCGTTCTGGTTTGGTGGAAGCGCAAGTTGTTTTGCGACTTTCTTTACGCATCCGCTGGATCTTGGTAAGTCTCCCACAGCTATGCACGCAACATCGCACATTTGGCTAATAGTCTGAACAGTCAAGGTAGCCTCTTCAGCTGTCGCGTGCGCCAATTCGTACATACTCACTCGTTCAGGTCCGGTTACAAACACAAGCGACATCTGGCGTACGATTAAACATGATGCAAATGTTTGGTCATGTCATAAAGGCTGATGGGGCACTGGGGCTGTACAAAGGCGTATGTGGTCTTGGGTCTTTTTTCACATGTTTCCAGCTAATGCGACACCAGATATCCGCAGCCCAACTTCGCCAAGGAACCTACAGCATGACACGCTTCGGTGTCTACGAAGCCCTTAAAGACCGTATGACGACCGCTGACTCGAAACCCTCGTTCCTGACACTAGTCGGCATGGCCTCTATATCAGGCTTTCTCGGAGGCTTCGCCGGTAACCCAGGAGACATTCTGAATGTACGGATGCAACATGATGCAGCATTACCGAGAGAGAAGCGACGAGGATACAAGAATGCGATCGACGGGATAATACGAATGTCGCGGGAAGAAGGAGTAGCAAGTCTGTGGAAAGGCGTCTGGCCCAACTCGTCAAGAGCTGTGCTCATGACTGTGGGTCAATTAGCAACATACGATGGATTTAAGCGCGTGTTGCTGAATTACACGCCGCTGCAAGACAACCTCGCAACACACTTCACCGCATCGTTCTTGGCAGGATTCGTAGCTACGACGATATGCTCGCCGGTAGATGTCATCAAGACGAAAGTCATGAGCTCTAGCGAGAACGTTGGGCTCATAAAGACTGTTTCAGATACTATGAGAGCAGAAGGATTCCGTTGGATGTTCAAGGGCTGGGTACCGAGCTTCATCCGTGTTGGACCCCACACCGTGCTCACGTTCTTGTTTTTGGAGCAACATAAGAAGGTCTACCGGCAACTGAAGAAGCTTGAGTAGGCAAAAGAGGCTCAGCATAGATACGCATGTGTTTGATACAATCTTGGGGTACGCGACAAGACGAATGATACCACATGGGCGGGCGTTTGGCGCTGACAGCATTTTGCGGCGCGAAATCATAGACCACGGTTCGATACTTCAGCCGATATATATACGATTTATTTGTGCCTATACGAATCTTTGAAACCCAAAGAGAAGTATACACTTCCGCCACAATGTTTCTCAACGCGCTGTTGTGCTTCCCTAATAAACATTAACCAAACCAAACTCTCTTGGATGCCAAAATCTCACTGTCCGGAACGAACTCAAAAGTCGATAGGAGTAGGATGCAGGAGATTCATGACGTATGTCTTTAGGCGGGTGAGTTTATAGTGGGTCGTGTGTCCATACTGCGACTGTTGTGGTGGAATGACTTACGGCCGTAGAAAGTGCAGTACGGCGGCAGGACCGCAGCCCGATTGAAACCTTACCGCCGTTCGTCTACCTTGTAAAAAATCCGACACAAATCCACAATGATGCGTATCTGCTTCGTACAAGACGATCTCCAGTCTAAGATCCTGGTAGATATTATGGTCTACGTAACAACGCCAAGTTTTCCGAATACCGCAGCAATGGGTATATGGGAGTGTTGGCTCACTTATAAGGTGACGTCCACCTCCACAGTTTGACATCAATCACTCACAATTCATATACGTCCATTGGGATCAAACAATCATGACTGCCATCGACATCGCCTTCTACTCTTCCTGCACTGTCACTTTCATCATTGTAGGCTGCCCCAGTACCTTAGTCGAATGTCAACTGATATATTTGTAGATTTTGCAGGTCGTTTATCGGCTTTACTTCCACCCATTAGCCAAGTACCCTGGACCCTTTCTAGCAAGATGCACGTCTTGGTACGGAGCATACCAGTCGTACACTGGGAACATCCATCTGGACGTCCAGAGATGTCATGAGAAGTATGGTAAGATACAGATCCTGCAATGAGATGTCAGGAATGTTGACGTGCAGTAGGCGATGTGGTACGCTACAAGCCGAACGGTCTTATTGTCAACACTGTCGAAGGACTACAAGGTATATCATTGAGCAAAGCTAAGGTTGGATGCATCTAATCATCATAGACATATATATGCATCCCTCCAAGACACAGAAGGCACGAGGATATGTAGGCTTCAGAAATGGCAAGCCTGAAGTTAGCGTCATCAACGCGCTCGATCGAGAGGAACATGCGCCAAGGAGGAAGATGTTGAGCCGAGCTTTCTCTACTGTTGCCTTGAAAAAATACGAGCCAGTGATCTACAGAACAGCCAAAGTCTTCGGCGACACTCTCCTAGCGAGCCCTGAATTTAGCGAGAAAGCAAGATCTTGGGGTCCTGGGTTGAACATCGGCCACATAAGTATGTCGAAAAGCCCGGTGAGGATCCTAGCACTAACATTGACAGGCTCCTACTTCACCTTCGATATCATGTCGAACATCGTCTTCTACAGTCCACAAAATATGATGACCGAAACACACGCTCGACCTATCCTTGAAACAATCGACAACTGCATGTTGATGGCTGGTATGGAAGTAATACAACCACGACTGGTCGATTATCGGAACCTCAGAACTTACCTTGCACCAAGACTCAGCAAGAAAATCTTGAGTCTTGGAGAACGGATCTGGCCACTTGTAATGGGCAGAATAGAACTAGAGAAGAAGCAGCACGTGGACGATATTTTCGGAGACTTGATTGGGCAACAAGGCAAAGAAGGCTCAGGACTTACTAACGAGGAGCTCATGGCTGAAGCATTAGTCATGGTAATTGCAGGTAAGATGAACCAACTTTACCGTGCTCTCTGTGCTTCGTCATTCTAATAGTTACAGGTACCGATACATCTTCTGTTGCCATCTCTGGTTTTTTCTTCTACATCGCACGTCATCCAGAAGTTTACAAGCTATTGGCCGCTGAAATCCGATCGACCTTCTCGAGCCTTGAGGAAATCGCACCGGGCGCAAGATTGACAAGCTGCTCCTACCTTCTGGCTTGCATTGACGAAGCACTACGGCTTGCGCCTCCAGTAGCCGCCCCACTGTGGAGGGAGATGAGGATGCAAGAGTCGATAGCTGGGAACGTCCTTCCAAAGGGGGTGGATATTGCAACTTGCTGCTACGCCATTCAGCGCAATCCTGCCTACTTCCCAGATCCCGACGAGTTCATCCCTGAACGATGGCTGCCGGACAACCAGAGCGAGGAGGCGCTCAAGTTGGCGAAAAGAGCATTTATCCCTTTTTCGTTGGGATCTCGGGGCTGTCTGGGTAAAAATATTGCTTATATGGAGCTTACCACAGCCCTGGCTCAGATAATGTTCCGAGCGGATTGGAAGCGTGCTGAAGGCCCAATGGGTACGATTGGAGAGACGCGGAGTGGTGCAAAGGGAGCTGTGAACTTCGAGATCAAAGGACACTTCACGAGCGAGAAGCATGGCCCTTACATCCAGTTTATTCCCCGACATCTCGACGAGCAGGTATCGGCTTAGACGCCAGAAGCTGTCCAGAGATTACAGTGTGTTAAAGAGCTACCCGGAGTAACAGGATGATTCTCTTTAGTATTTGAGGCGTATTAAATGCGTAGATTGAAGTCATGTAGCGTTATCTTATTTGGTTAGAATGGTTAAATACTTTACTAGAATGCAATAAGACAGTGGCCTCAGAGGCATAAGCCGCACTGGGATTTTATATGCTTTGCGCAAAGTAGCTTGATGTCTCATCTTGGAGATCTCGGCTTCACGCCTTCGAAAGGCTTGAATCACGCCCTTTCAAATCCTTGGGATTGCTCCCCTGCATCGTATCTCATACTGCGCAGACTTTTTCTAGCACCAACCCCACGTTATCAGATTCGAACGATGATGTACGAACACCTGCTTAATCTCTGCTCCTTTCTCCTTGTAATCATTTATAGCCTTGTATGTATCTACCAAGGTGACCACAACTGGACCCATGCGTTTTTCTCTATCGGGTATCCAATTCTCTAAGGGGTTATGCATCTGGCTCTCGACTTTGACCACAAGTGATTGTATCGCCACCTAAAGCATGTACCCCTTGTATTTATCGTTCGCCCTAAAGGTGTTTTGCTGGAAAATTTGGCGGGAGATCAGCTCGGAAGCGTAGCCATTAGATAGACTTTTCTGTCTGATCTTAGGGACAGTTCGCTGATGATGGCATCGTCCTTGTCTTTTGTATTCATTTGCCCAAGACCCTTCGTCTTGCTCGGAGCGACGAGGACGTCGCTGGCCGCTTCGATAAAGTGTTGCGGACATCAATGGTGAAGATGAGAGGGTGTCGGGTTCGTTCTCTTGCCTGCATTTACTGAAGCCATTGGAGACAAACGGAAGGGTGCGGCTCACTGTCTTGGTATAGCAAAAGAGTATAATCGATCGCGAAACGGAATGATCACATGCACAGATGATCATGATTGCTTCGTCGCATGTGCCACACGTTTGAATAAGCTCCTTCAAGGACACTGCACATAGAAGAAGACGACCATTTTAGCCATTGGTTTTCCTTTCAGGTACTCTTGATAAAGCGACCCACAACGCGTAGGGCAGCAAAAGCCTGCGGTGTATTGCAGATAGTGCGAGGCGCACTGAGAGGACTCGATCAGTACAACACATATGCGACGACGAAAGTAGGGAGAAGCTTGGTAGGGTGGCAACAGCTGTATGCAAGGGCTGAGGGGCCAAGAGTATTATTTGCAACCAAAATTCAGTACTTGAAGAAAGGTCCGACGTTCGCTTTAATGTAATGCAAATAGAGGGGAATACGAAAGACACAAAGTGTGAGGCAAACATACATGGTCAATTAGCCATGACCAACGGGATGGAGAGGGACATATGAGACATGTTTGCCAAACAGATTTTCGTAGCCAAACAAGATCTGGAAGTGTTCGAGTGGAATGCCTGTCAGATACGGCAAGATTGTGGGGCGGTGGTGAAGTGATGCAATTGTTTATTGAGACAACTGCCTTAAGCAGTCAGTGGTATGAGAAGCGCCTATTCCCTAGAATGCCCGAAGTTTTCATTCAGATACAGGAGCCCACACCCTTATTTTCGTGCCGACGCCAATGTAATCATTCCACGACCCAATCATGAATTCATGATAACTCTCTAGTGCTTCATGGAAGACGCCCTCCTCTTGCGGGCCTCGTCGTGTGCGGCCTTGGCGTCGTTGATGCGCTTGGAAAGGATCTGAGCGTACTCGTTCTGTATTGGCATTAGTAGTTTTTCTGAGCGTCATAGTAGGGTATGGACGTACGGCAGCATCCTTGGAAGCCTCCGCGCGACGACGCTTGAGTGCCAGCCTGTGACGCTTGTGCTGGAGACGCTGAGGAGTAACAAGACGCTGGATCTTGGGGGCCTTGGTGTAGGGCTTGGCGCCCTCCTTCTTGGGCTGGACCTCACGGCGGATGACGAACTTGCGGACCTACACATGCAATGATTAGTCTTCAAACCTTGAAACTTTACTAGCTCACTTCTTGTTGCTCAGACTCAATACGCTGCTTGTAGCAGGACGAGCGAGACTCAATCCGCTATGCGAAGCAGGATTGGCGAAGAAGCTATGAGGTAACTCACATCATCTTCCTTGCTGAGACCGAAGAAGCGGCGGATCTTGGTGGCACGCTTGGGACCGAGGCGCTTGGGGTGGACAATGTCGGTCAGGCCGGGAATTTCGTCGTCACCCTTCTTGACGATGCTGAGAGCAAGGACAGAGAGGTCCATGCCGACAATGCATCCACGGACGGACTTCCTCTTGCGCTCACCAGTGCGGCGGGGGCGGTAGCAGGAGTGGCCATCAGCGAGGAGAAGGCGGACACGAGTTGGGTGCATGACACCCTGCTTCATCGGGAAACCTTGCTTGTCGTTACCGCCGGTGATCCTGACGATGTAGCCCTTGAACTCGTCGCCAATGCTGTCGGCAGGGACTTCTTGACCCATGCGGCGGTCCATGAAGACGCGGAGCTTGCGCTCATCCTCGACCTCGATCAACTTCTGGGTTCCATTGTTGGGGTAGGAGATGTTGAGCTTCATCTTGACTGCGGCGTCTCGACGGCGTGTGGAAGCTGCAACGTTAGTAGATTGTCGTGGTGTTGAAGGGTCGTCGGGTCGAAATTCATTTTGGAATGCGGTTCGCTTAATGCCAGTGCGCGCTAATCGGGTTTGGCATCATCACGTGCTAGCGCGACTTCCAGGTACGGCAGTCGCGATCCACAAACTTGAGGGGAATTGTCGAGGCCTGGGGCATGACTCGCGTTTTAGTGGCATCATGATCTATATCCTGCTGAATCGTTAGGTTCATTCTGCAGCAAGAAGTCCGGATCCAATCTGCGCAGGCACACGAGCATTTCACCGTGAGGAGCACGATTGAGACTTGGGCGTTGGTTCGTACAAAAGTGCGTCTATCGCCTTCGTCTTCGCAGATCGCATCATTCAACAGCGTTTTGAGCCCAGCAGCGCGGAGCTTACATTGCGTATACATATTCACCAGATTTTCGGAGCACGTGAAGCAATTAGATGTGCAAAATTTAACGTGTTTATGCTATTCAAGAGGGATATCATTCCATGCCGTGCCATTCCCTGACCATTAGACTCGTTGCAGCTAAAGTCTTGCTCAGGTATTCTCAAACCCAAATGCTCGCATTCCCTAGCTTGCAGAGCCGTCCTCAAATCAGCAAGCCACCAACGCCAGAACTATGCATTCGCCATATCATTATGGACACAAGAAGCCTTTTTTGAAAACACAAGGAAAGAAATGATACGCGAGACCACTAGACTGTCTAGTGCATGAGCTCGACCGGCGGCCTCGCGGTGCTGACTGTCATGCCCTGTGCCTTCTGCGACGCGATCGGTCCCTCAATCCCTTCCATCGCATCGATGGGGGTCAACGGCTCAGGTGTCTCTGTTGTGTCTTCAACTGATATAGCTGGAAGGTTCGGTGAATCGCCGTGGTCTTCGGGGTGGTAAACTACAGTCGTGCTGCCGGTTCGCCTCCTTGTAATGGGAGCACCTCCGTGATCGGTCTCGGGTGAGGTCGCCTCGTGATTTGCATGCAACCGCGCCAGCGCTGCTGCGAGGTCTTCAGGGTGCACAATCTTGTTGGGTGCATCCTCTTCCTTCATTTCCCAGCCCATCGGTGGTGAAGGTGGCGGCGAGATGAAAAATAGGCGGTCTGACTTGGGTAGGGCGAGGTGCTGGTCTGAGGGGTTCATGGGTGTGTTTACACCGAAATATACGCGGATGCGATAGCCCATGAGCTGCTCGCCATCGAGGGCTTGTCGAACTTGTATCGCAGAGTCAATGTCGAAGAAGGATACCACGATGCGACGGAAGGACTTGAGCGGCGCCCATGTGTGTACTTTGGCATGTTGGTCGATGGTTTCGCGGATCTCGGTAAGGGTTGATAGTTGGAAGATTTCGGGAGCAAGAAGGTTCTGGATACTGTTAGATGCTGCCGCTGAATTTGACGAGTGCAACGCTTACGGTTATGATGAGTGTGTTTGAGGGTGGTGATGGCTCGACCAGTGGTGGCAGGTCTGAGAAGTCGAGAGAAAGTGGCGACTTGCTGCCCGATGATGCGCGCGAGCGCTGTGGTGATGGCAGAGTAGCTTGCATGTTTGCGATCATTTGTGTTGCGCAAAGAGTCTTAGGCTTCTGGTGTGGATGAGTTGCTGTGATGAGATGAAGTGGAATGTCTTAAATGCGTGTGTCTTATATCAAAGTTCGCCTTCGCGGTGGTTGGTGGTTCCAGCTTCCGCATGCAAGCACACTGTTGCTCCGCCTCAATCCGCCAAGGCCAGAACTTCGGCCATGACATTTCCCGCGTCCACGTCCCATGTTCTGCTTCTTTCGCGCCATTTCCTGGGCGTTATTGCACTGCCCCGCCATGTTGCTTCCCAACGCACTGTGCTGTTAGAGGTCTCCGGACCTCGGCGGACGCGTCAATGACGGATTCAACTGACGATAGCACAACACGCAGAGAAAAGGAGAGGCCCTCAGCCTCGCTGATGCTTAGTCGCCCTCAACTCAGCCTCATGTCGACGAAAGAAACATCCATCAGTGTCTCGCTGGTTCCACAGAAGATAGTTTGCAGGCTACTCAAGCACCGAGTCGACTGTTAGTGTCCGGCTTATCCATGTTAGGACTACACAGCATGCACACAATACTATCAGGGCCGTTATCTTGTCCGACTGGGCATTTCATAGGTCATCACTCGGCGGCAGACTCGTCAATCCCCATCTGCCATATGCATGCGACGATACGACGAGGACAACTGTCAAGTCAGTCAGCTCACTTTGCAGCACAGCCATAGGCGCTTTGCACCCGAGACCTTTGTCGGCCGATAACACCCTCACGTCTTGGTCTTGTCGTCACGCTGCAAGTAGTCTTGAAGTACATCATCCTACAAGAGTGTCTCATGTGCTTAGGAGCAAGGCTGATCGAAGGTCACGTCTTGTCTCGTGACTGTCTCACGCTCCGCGCATGCCGGACACACCCGCGGGTCCTGAGAGCATGTACTTGCTTCATACGTCCTTTGTTTTGCACAAACATCCGGCACATCCAAACCTATAGCTCATGTTGTAGCAGCTTGGTTTGTGCCAGGCCATGACATACCTAGGTATATCAGTATTAGGTACCTAGTATCAGGTGCCTGAGTATACGCACGCAAACAAATTGTCAGAACATTGCCGCTCGGTAAACTTTGGTTCAGAAACAAGTGACTTTGCGTACAACTGCGGATGCGGTGCAATTTCGCCGATTGCTAACCTGCATGACGATGACCACAAAGACATGACAGTGGAACAGCTCTGGAAGTGTGGCGTAGCTGTGGCGCATGCATCCAGGCGCTAGGCTACGTTGGCTCCAGACTCACCTCAAAGAATCTCCATCACGGCGACGTCCCTAGCCAGCACACGCCATACACGTCAACACGTCTCTCTCCGCCTCACAATCTAGTCGCCTTGCCGCCTCGGCTCCATCTCCCACGCCGCAAGCACCCAGCTCTCACCTCCCTGAAACGACGACGCGATGGACTACGACCCAGATGGCGGCGCAATAAACGTCCGCTTCCTCGAGGTACACCGTCTGCTCTGGCTACCTCGCAACACGTCGAGCTAACACAGCCATGCGTAGGCAAACAGCCAGCGCGCCAACTTCATCGTCCAGAACTTTAATCTCGAAACCGCCAACTCGCTGCGCCGTGTGATGCTCGCTGAGATTCCCACCCTTGCCATCGACGTCGTAGAAGTCTTCGACAATACATCCGTTCTTGCCGACGAGTTCGTCTGCCACCGTCTCGGCCTCGTGCCCTTGTGCTCAAAAGGTGTCGAAGACCTGCTATACTCGCGCGACTGTGACTGCGAAGGCTACTGCGACAACTGCGCCGTTGTCCTCACCCTCAACGCGAAATGCACAGGCAGCGAGATTATGAAAGTGTATGCGCGCGATCTGGTGATTGAGTCCCGGACACCGAATGAGGATGTAGGCAAGCCGGTCATCACTGATTCAGAAGAGACGGGTAGTTGCATTGTCAAACTGAGGAGAGGTCAAGCGATCAGCATGAAGTGCATCGCGAAGAAGGGTATTGCAAAGGAGCATGCGAAGTGGGCACCTAGTGCGGCCATCGGTTTCGAGTATGATCCGGCGAACAAGCTGCATCATTTGGACTACTGGCACGAGGAGGACGCGGATAAGGAATGGTACGTGTGCTCTTTTCCTTGCTGAGTACTCGATTACGGGCAGGAACAATCTGACAGCAACTAGGCCCAAAGACGAAGCTCGGATAAACCTTGATGGCGGTCCCTCTAACCCAGACGAACCCTTCAACTACGACGCTGTCCCAACCCGTTTCTTCTACGACGTCGAAACAGTCGGTGGTCTTGAACCTGATCAGATTGTCACACAAGGAATCTCTATCCTACAACGAAAGCTCGCCGAGATTATCAAAGAACTATCCGGCGGTATTGGAGGCCCAGAGGACTTTGGCGGTGCGCAGAGCCCAACACTGAACGGTGCTGGGTATGGCGATGCCGGCGGATATACTCCCGTCGGAGCACCGGGATACGGCGGCGCGAGTTCTTGGGGTGGCGCGGCACAAGGAGGTGCTACGCCGTACGGTGCTACGCCATACGGACAGAACTGGTAGACAAGTATGGGCATGTCTAGGGTGTACAACATTGCATGGGCTGGCGTTCTAAAAGGGTGGGCGTCAACAGACTGCAAAACTGCCATGGAACGTAGTATCGTATCCTTCGCATTAACATTGGGCACAGAAAGAAGGTGCAGATTGCTATCAAGAATAAGTTGAAGCAAATTCATTGATACTGCTTTGCTGCTCTTGAGTTTGCTCTTTCGCTCGTAATCTGTCATATCTAATATTACAATACATGCAAAGCCATTTCATCATTGTGCTTGCTCAACTTTTCCAAAATGCGTCTGAGAGGGGAATATTTGTACAATGTCCGATGAAAAACCAAAGTGCACCTTGTGGGTAGCACGAAAACGCCATACCTCCATTGTACCGCCGTGTCAACCAGTCAATAGAGCCGAACCGTAGTAGTCATACACATGCGAATGAAATGGTTGCGGCAGTGACATAGGTCATGAACACCACTATCCGCGTACATGGAACGTCATTCAGGCCTCGTTCAATCGTGCATTTAGGCGTTCTTGACAACGCCAACCTTGGCCGGTCGCAGTGTCCGTCCGTTGAGCTTGAAACCCTTCTGTTGAGTGTGGAAGCAAGTACCGTCCTCCTTGTCGGGTTGCGGCGCCTGGAAAACGGCCTCGTGAATGTTGGGGTCGAACTTCTCTGCGGCTTCGCTGGGGTCGAATCGCTCCAAGCCGTGCTTCTTAAGCGTGTTGATGAGGATGGTGTCGGTCATCTTGATACCGTCGTGGAGAGCAATGAGGTCGCTGTTGTCGCCCTTGAGCTTCTCTTCCGGGACAGTACCCAGGGCGCGGTCAAGGTTGTCAACAGATTCTACAAGGTCGCGAGCGAAGCGCTGGATGGCGAAGTCTTTTGCGGCCTTGAT